GGTCAGGGTGTGGGGGGGCAGTGTCAGGTAAGGGTTAGGATCAGGGTGGGGGGGGGGCAGTGTCAGGTAAGGGTTAGGATCAGGGTATGGGGGGGGCAGTGTCAGGTAAGGGTTAAGGTCAGGGTGTGGCAGTGTCAGCAGGTAAGTATTCAGTGAATGGATGCTGTTTGGTCGCTGTTTGTGTCCCTGTCCTAATTTCAGACATTTTTATTTCACAGGATTTATGAACTTTTTATTTTGGGAAGAACTGATCCAAAAGTTAAAACTTGAAGAAGACACAAGGAAGGAATGCCAAGAAAATTCTGAAAAGTACAGGAAACACAAGCAATCACTTTGCTGAACTGGATCCTTAGTTTCTCAAGAAGACAGAAAATCAGATTTTTCTGCTGCTTTTCATGGAAGAATGCCCCTTTTTGTCCTGCCCTGTCAAACGCACCCTTATTATAAATTTATTTGAATTTATGTCAGACTTGCTAAAATAAATTTAGAATAGAATTTCTTCCATATAAGATAACATATATCATTTTTTAGTATAGAAGCAGATATTAGCTGAAATCTTTTAAAAATATTTATTTCATTCTCGGTTCATACTGAATTTGTCCTTGAGGTCGTTTAAATAACAAAACTTATACACTCTTTAAAATTCTCCTCAATCAATCCACATTTTAAAAGCAGCTTAACCATTATCTAAACACAAATTAAGTTTGTAAAACACAACATTAACTAGTTATTTATAAACCATTTATTAGCCATTAATTTATCAAACACGGATTGCAAAATGTCATTTCTTCAGCCAAATATTTGGTGTCCGTAACTTCTTTGCTCTGTTTATTTCTTGTTGTTCACTCCAAAATCTGTGACCAGTGCTCAGGCCCAGGCTTATTTTTGTCAATAAAGACTTAATATCTTAAATTATTTCTTTTTTTTACAAACGTAGATTTTGAATCTTGCACTTGATATTAAGCACTATACCATACGATAGCTTCAGCATAGTAAAACTATTGAACTACATAGTTTTATTTATAACATTTAGATAAATATATTTAAGTCACAGATATTAGGTTTAGACATGTCATCCAATGCTCATTTTACTGTAATTAGAATTTAATCATTCAGAAATATATGGCCAGAACTTACCATAGTTAATAATTCCACCAATTAATTGCAGTTCTATGTTTCTCCCACATAATAGAAAATAGCTTTAGTTCATTTTGTCTGACTTCTGAAGAAAAAATGGAGCAAGATTAGGGTCAAAACTGTCAGTAAGTTACTGATACTGTGATGCGCTCTCAGTGCATCACAATGGCTGTTTCTGAATAACGCAGAGAAAAAACACACTGCAGTACTGCCAAAAAAGGTGGTCCCAGGATTTGTTAAAAAAGAGGAAACTTCTTCAACTGCCAATCACTTGTTTACAGTCATGAACAAGCTGCTCTCTCGGATATGATATTTAAAGCCAGTGAGTGCTGAAGTGCCACCTTTAGCTATTACCGATGCTGGATGGTTTCAAAACTGTAAGGATCACAAGGAGAAACAAAAAAACGTAAAGTTTACATTTAAGGGAATGTTTATATCGTACAATATTTGAAATTTTTGCATGTGCCATACAACTGAAATCTGTTTATATAGAAAGATGAATAAGGGAGGAATGAAGTTTCCTCTAAAGATATTTAGGATGTTGGATAGATTATGCTTACTCTAAGCATATAACACACCGACAACGATAGAATTAGGGTGAAAGTTTACATTTTTAATGAAAAAATGCTGATATACTCTCTACTTTTACATTTATATTGAATCCAATATTTCTGTTGAGTTATTAGTCTTTAATCTGGTAAAAGTTAAATGTTTAATAGAGAAGCACATCAATTCTTTTCCTTTCTGAGGTAATCACTTTTTTAAAGTCAAATCTGATATGAAGCATGTGAAGACAAAACTGTAGTTTATTTTCTACTACAGTTTTGAATAACTAGCTAACAACTGGTTTTGATTGTTAATGATTTAAGTAGAATCTTACAAACATAGAACAAAGATTGATTAATTAAAATATTAGCAAGACTATTAGAACGTCTCCATATGTAATTTGACATATTTTATGAGAGGGACATTTGTAAAGTGACAATATATTTTATTAGATGTACATTTTTAGAGTGAAAAAAAATCATTAATACATATTACATTATAGTTCATATTAAAGTTTAATTTCAAAATACTTTATCACATTTTGTGTTTGTGTTACTTTAATAAAAGTGTATATAATATTAGGGCAGGTGATTTCTGAGACAATTGTTAAAAATTGTGTTTTTATAAAAGGACATTTTCCTCAAAAAATACCTCTACAGACTGCAGCCGTGTGTTTGGATTTTTTTATTGGAATAAAGAAGCTGTTATTTTTGCCAAATGTAGACATCCACAGGGGCTTACACATATTTTCTTGTAAGTTTACAGATATCTTGGATCTTGCAGAGTGATTAAAGACAACTCATAAATCAGGTTCCCTCATAAAATTAGCTGTCAGTGTCTGTAATATGCTTATAAGCATGTTGTCTGTTGAATAATTGTATTTATTATATTGATCATTGTGTGCTAGAGACAGACAGCTACAGAAAAAGATGCTTTGCTAATTCTCTTGCCCTCTTGCCTCGTTTCTGTAAACCTGTGCAAGCACAGAAGTGCTGATGCATACTTCACATCTCTGTTGCCTAGGCAACAACTATATGGTTTTCACTGTTTATTATTCTGTTTTAGAGCTGGAACGTACATAGGAGTCTTTGTTTTTAGTGGAATTTATCTCGGGTTAACGTCTGCATGTAGATGTGGACCATGAGACACGGCTCTGACAACTTTCTTTAGTGTCCAGAATTCTCTGAAGAGGTTGGCTATTTTTTAAGGACTTTACATTTGATGATTTTGCCTTCATATCCCGCTGCTTTCTTTCCACTCAGTAAGAGTCATTTTGCTGGACCATAATAGAGAGCTTACCGATTAATCTGCATAAGAGTAGAAGATCGAGAACTGAAAAATGAGGCCCTCTTCAAATCCCACAATGCACTCTGCTTCCCTTCTCCTTTTTGTCATTTCTGCCCTGCTTGTTACTGTATTCTCGACGTCAACTGAGCGGCCGAACCCGAAGCCCGGGAGTCCTTCTCTGCTGCTCTTGACTATCCAAAACAGCAAGCGGGCCGCGTCCTCCTCAGGGAGGCCCAAACCAGTTGTCCAAGTGGAGGAGACGCCACCGAAACCATTAGCGCAGGTCATGCTGCGGAACGTGACGGCAGATGCCCTGAAACCCCCGCTAGGTGCGGCTCAGGTGGCCCCCCCACCCAAAAAGCTGGTGGACGTGGACGTCTGCCGGGGGTACTACGACGTAATGGGACAGTACGATTTGACATTTAACTGCTCCAAAGACAATTTCATCTACTGTTGTGGGACGTGCCACTATCGCTTCTGCTGTCAGCATAGAAGCAACCGCTTGGATCAGAATTCCTGCAACAACTACAACTCTCCTGTTTGGGCCAAAACCTCGCCTCCTGTCACGATTCCCCTCGACCTTCGCTCCGACCCTGACTTTGACCCCCTCCGGCAACAGACGAATAACACGGTATATGTCATCGGTGGTGTGATCTCCTTCACGGTGGCCGTGGCCGTGGGCATTAAGGTGGCGTTCCACAAGGCCTCACGCCGGCCTCGGCACCGAGACATCCACGTGCCCAGGTGAGTAGCTCTCAGTACGGACAGGGGGCAGCAGCGGGGGAGCTAGTGGCACCAGTGTCGCCCCACTGAAGCGTTGCGTTTGTGTATCATTGTTTATCATTGCTGTTTGGATGCAGCCTGTTTGGCAGTATATCAGTGTATATCTCTGCTTGAGTTTGACAACATGATGAATTTGTCATTTAGTTTTAAGGGGCAAGAAGTGCAAGATGTGATTCTAAGTTTATAGAATATGTCTTGAAGGGATTATTATACTTATATGCTTGGGGTGGAAGGTATTTGGGTACTATTGCTGCCTCGTTCCTCCAGGGTTAGGATTTGAATCCCACCACCAATTTCTGTGTGTGGAGTTTGCATGTTTTTGCCATCTGATTCTCCAGCCTGGTGTTCTGTACTGCCAGAAATAGGCTAGAGACTCACATGACTCCGACCAGGATAAATAAGTGGATGACGGGTGGATATGCTTTCAAACTGTCAGACTGCTCTCTCAGGCTGAGAGGACCCAGTGACACGTACAAGCACACGTTCAGTACCTGGTGAGGGGTTGCAGTAGCAGATTTTGGGCTCACAAAGTGAGCTGTTGTAATATGAGGAATATAGAAAAGAATAGGGGATTCTTGTGGTCATGTGACCATTGAGAGGCCAGGTAACTGTGAATTTGAATATGTTTAACCAGGTTGGGGGTCGACGGGTCGGCAGGTGGGGCCTCTGTAAAATTGGCCGACGCTGGGAGGGGGGGCGTCCCGTAAATTGTTGCGAATTTTGCATGATTGTCTTTTACCAAAACGGGTGCTTAATTAAATTTGCTGGCTGAGGGGTTAAATTTTGCGATGGGATCCCATTTTGTAATGGGATGTCCCTCGGCCACTCACCTCCTCCGCTACGGTGTTCAGCGACCTTTCTGCAGCTCGCCCCCGCTATTGCCATATTTATTTATTGTTTCTTGGTATTGTTCATACACTCCCTGTTGGGTGTTGCTACAGTTCTGTTTTACACAAAATACCATGTGCTGATTATTATACTGCAATAATGACAATACATACCAATAGCATTTCAGACTGCTAGCAAGGAAGGCAGGGGTTAGCCTGATCATATTTCATACTGTGCTGAAATGTACAGTGTTGATATAGAACCAATAAAATTAGACTGAATTAGAATCAGGAGCTAGAAGGAGTCACCAGATGCAGACCTTGCTTTCTCTTTAACAAAACTGATAAACGTTTTCAAAATAAAAGCCTGCCATTTAATACATTGCGTGCTTCACATAGTCAGGGAAGCAAGATACTCCCCTGTATCAGGGGGCATTCAATCTGCCTTTGTTTATACATGTAATATCAGAGTTTTTAAATCATTAAACATCAGTTATCTGCTCTTAAGAGATTTACTGTATGAATAAACATAATTGTGTATTTTCCAAACTATTTATGACTTCAGTACCATTACTGAAAACAAAAATCTGCAAACCCAATGAATGAAGACCATAAAACCAGCGATATATATTTCAGCATTTGTTCATATTTGTTACATTTCAAAATCCAAGTATATTTCTTAATCTAACTTTTTGTTCATGGGTTTTGTAGTGTTGTATTGGTACATATGGAAGTATCCATGTTTTTCCTAAACTATCTGCAGTATTGATTCCTTCTAGGAATGAAACCTTACATAAAATTCATGGTTCAGTACGAAATTGTTTTGGGTTCAATGTTCGGTGCAATTTCAATACACAGAGAAAATAAAATTTGTTTAGAAATTATATATTATTAAAACTGCAAACACGCAATTAGGAACAGCTTTAAACCAAAGGCGATGTGTCTGTCTACATATCTGAATGACAAAATGCAAGAGAAGCTTATTTTAAAAATGAAATTCAAACATAAGACCGCATAATGTGTTCTCTACTACTGGGTATGGTCGCAGATCTGTAGCGATCTGTAGCATGTAACACCATGTTAGCTGTAATTATTTTTTTAGCCCAGTCTGAATTTTCTGGCAATAGCTCCTTAGGTGCCAATGGGGAGACTAACTTGCAGAGGCTGTGTCTGCCTTTCTCTAGGCGTCCACACACTCAGATGATGTCATCGCAAATGAGTTAGCATGTTGGACGTGTTTCCAGCAACATATCCGAGTTTGGTATAACAGAACTGACAGACAGTCTTGGATTTTTCAACTACTCTCTCTCCAGTGTTGGTGTCATTTATTGGGAAAGCAAAATGTTCCCAAACCGCCCATTATGACTGAATGTAACCAGCTCACAGCCACGTTTCGCAGAATGATCCCATGTTGAACATCCACTTATGAATTCTGCTTGTGTCAGGCAATATATTCATTTGTTTCCTTGCGCATAGCAAACTAAAAACGATGTAATCGAATGGCATGTCAGTACTATGTGGATAGTTAGAGTGCTAATTCCTTCGGGGGCTTAGGTTTCTTCTTGTAGTCCAAAGACATGCAGTTAGAGTGTATATGTGTGCATACTGTATATGTGTCCTGCCTGGGAGTATGGGAGTATACTGTGCTTTGTTGGAGTATGGAGGGATGATTATTTCATTTTCCCAATGAAAAGCCTGTGACATGCACATACGCCTTCCTTGAGTCCCTAATTCTATTCCAGATCTCTGGTCGACATTCTGCGTCACCAGTCAAGCCCCGTCCAGCAAGGCGAGCGCAACAACAGTGTGGCGCTGGGCTCTGGGACGAACGAGGGAACCCTAGGACGGCCCTCTAAAAACCTGTACACCCCTGTCAGCCAGAGCAAAGACAACCGCAGTGAGTGACTCCAGAGTCAGACACAGGCTGGCTGTGTGGCATCTATAAGTAAGAGCATCAGGGGGCTCTATGAAAGGAAAGAGTTTATACACGGGCAAAGAATGGAAAAAGTAACCTATATATACTACAAACAAATGTAGTTATGACAATATTGGAAAATGCATAATACTAGCAGTAGCTGGTTGATTGTGAGCTCCATGTCCTGTGTGCCTGTAAACACGGGGAAGCGGTTGTGCGATTGGTAATGTCACACCACTGATACCTGTGTTCTGCTTTACAGTTGGAAATTTGCATCACAATTTCATCCACCACTCTGGTTCCAGCCCTAAACACACCGCTACCATTGGTAAGGTCTCTAGTTTAGGTGCTTTCATAAAGCAGCTGCAGATATTAGAAAACACGTTTTCACCTTCTCTGCAGCTGTTTTATTAAATATTTGATATGACTTTATTGTATGATTTTGGGAAGTTTACATGCTTCATGTTCACTCAGAAGGACATCTTACCTTCTCCTCCTCTTGTGGGTTATAATGGTTAGAGCTCCTTCCAGTGTTGTTGCTGGGCTCCCTTTAACTTTCCCATGGCTTCCCCTCCCCGCTCCTCACTCTCTTACCTCCTCCTTCTGGTATTTGCTAGCCCCTACTCCTGATTCCACGAGTGCCTTTGTCGTCTGTGCCCCGCTCCCGTTGCGCCTGTGAATAGATCCAAATCTCAGTCATTTCAAGCTTTGCTCTCATTTCTGAACCCTTTCAAACGGCATGTATATGCTCACGTTCTCTATTCCAACTACTTCTTTTCATGGAATGACTTTCATAGGCAGTTGAGATGTAATGGCTGCCACTTCTTTCAGAGCGCGCTCCCCGTATGAATAATGCCCAGCTGGCCTCTTCAGGGACTCTTCTCTCCAGCAAGCACAACAACACCTATGCTCGTCACCCATCCTTCCACCACTCCTTACACAACCTGGCCCAGCTGCCCCCTTCATATGAAGCAGCTATGAAGCCGGAAATCAACAGATACAGCTCACTGAAGAGGCTGGGTGAGTGTGGCGTCTGAAACAGGGGATCTAAATGGCATCCAGCACTTTCCGGGGGAGGGGGGGGGGGGCACATTCTATAGCGACAGCACAGGACAGAGTTATGGGCCATGGCGAGCAGGGTGAAGGTTATTCATAGAATCAGTTGTTGGGTCAAAGTAGAGGTGTCCAGTTCAAAGGGTATTGGGAGAGCAATTGCATCATACTGAGCCTACATATTATTATGACGAAGTAGGCCCTACTAGAAATGGTATGTCCTCTGTATTCTGTTTGAAAAATTAGGGATGTGTATTTTATTCACAACCTGAAAGGTCCAAGTAGAAATAATACATTTTGTACAAATATATATAAATAATAAAATCAAAGCATCTTCAGATGACTGAACTCCACATTTAGTGGATGCACCCAAGATAGCGATGTAGCCATGAGTCTGCTTGGTTAACATTTTGCTAATGTTTTGTGCCAGATTACTGCCCATTACCGGCAACTTAGTAGGGAGAACTTGCCTCATATTTCAGTTCAATTATGGAGTCTCCTCCTCATTTATCCCTGGCTGCTTCTTTTCCCTTTTATTGTTAAAAAAACAGAAAAAGATTTGGACGACTACTCAGGGTATTACACCTCCAAACGGCGGCCCAACAATGCCCCACCTTCCTTCCATTCTTCCCAGCACCACCTCCCCTGGGGGGGGGACTATACCCTTGGTGCCCGGGGTACCCTCCCTCTACATGCATCCCGGCCACGAATACACCCCCAGTCTGCCTCTCCAGTGACCCCCAATCCATACCCATTACAACCCCCTAAGTCACAGTACAACTCTAACTTCGACACGCTGTCCAAGCCTCCGAGAAGGGTGATGTCCCAAGAACAGCTGCTGACGGTGGGGGACGGCAACACCCTCTCCAAGCTCTCCAAAAACCAACAGCATCAGTATTACAAAGCCATTGCTTCTGCAGCTAAGAGTTCGAACACCCAAACCCCGAAGAAGTCACAAGAGAGGCTCCTGATGTCCCCAGACCGACTCGGGGAAGACGTTGGCGGAGGGGTCGGCGTGGGCGATTTTGGAGGTATGACGCCTACTCTACCACGCTTCACCCAGCAGCAAAAAGCTCAGTCGCAACAGAATGTCTGTGCCACACCCTCTCTCAACCGACATCACATGATAAAAATGAACTCCCACCCAACCTCAGGCAGAGAGCAGGAGAGGAACGTCGCCGTGCCGAGTCATGGCCCTGGAGCGGTGGGCCGACCCGAGGTACCTGGAGGAGGAACAGGAACCATAGGCCATACTGCAAGAAGGATGGCTTTTGCAACCAAGAGGCAGAACACCATTGAACAGCTGCATTTCATTCCTGGGGGTGGCGGAGGAGGAGGACCACCAGCAGCAGCCGCGGGGACAGGTGCAGGGGCAGGTGGGAATCAAGGTCTGCGGACAGGAAGTAAGAATGAAGTGACGGTGTGAGGGAGGGAGAGGAGGCAGAGAGGACATGATAAGGCATTGGGGATGGAATGGTGGGGGATGGAAGATAAGAGAGGAAGAAAGAGAGAAATGCCCATAAATGGCAAAATAATGATAATCGGTTGATAATAGTGATAAGGTTCAGAAGGAGAACATAATCCTGCTTTTTTATATAAATATATATGTATATATATATGCCTATGTATGCGTGTGAAAAGTCAGCCATATTTCTTATTAAAAAATTGCCATACATTCTGGTGCCAAGAGAAGGAAGCCAGGGACCTTCAGGAAGAGCATGAGATAAGGAATGGACATCATGATCAGCTGTCGGGGGAAACCAAGGACAATTGAGCTTTCATCAGTGTCCGTCTTCATTAAATGTCGTGGGAACAGAAACTACTGAGCCATATTATGAAGGGGGAACATGGGGTGGTTAAAGGAGAGATTTCTGGAAGAAGATGCAGAATGACTGAATAAAATCAGTCCTACAGTCGATCAGGTGACCTGAACATTATATGTTTTGTATCAGAGGGTATGCTGGATGAAACAGTGTTAGAAGATCATTTTCAGCTAAACAGCCATTAACAGTTGCCTCCTGGAACTGAGAGTGGAAATAGTACAAAGGCTAATGATATCTAGTTTTTTTCTGATTGCCTGAGCAAAACCTCATCAGACAATGGGAAAAAAAGGAGCTAATTGGGCCACTCGTTATTTTTTTTTAATTGGATATTTTATCATCAGGACCGCCTTTGCTTCTGCTCGTGTTCTTAAATTGAACGTCTGATAATGAATTTGTTCCTGCTGATCATCTTATTGCAGCATGACCCTATATTGAACGGGTGATTATGGGAGACGGATGAGAATGGATGAGAATCGCAGTGGATGCAAAACATCCACAGAGGCGGTTTGGACATGGATATTAACACTGTACATCTTGGAAGGCAAATATCGCCACACTAAATGAACAACATATCTTTGTAATTTATTGGAGATGCTGTCCACCCTGAAGAATAAGACTTATTACTGATAATGGCGACCTCATGAACTTATTGAATGGATATTTGGTCTATACTGCAGTGACATGGTGACATGCAGTCATGTCAGAAATGGGAAATGCATGGTACTGTGTTAAGGCACTCGGCTTCTCATGATCAACTGTAAGACTTTAAAGGACTTTGAACACTGACTAGAGGTGATGAGATCAGATGTAATTTTGTTTTACAATAATTAAGGCACATGAGTAATCTTTAATGCGCAAATGCTCTTCAAAGCAAAGTGTGGATCATCATGAGCTATGGGAGAAAAACTGTCTGCAAAAGGAGGCTTATTCATCTTTTGTTTGCTTATGGACAGAGATGTAATCAGACCGGAAAATTAACATACAATATCAGCTGAAATTCATACCCGAATATAGCCTATATCCATGGGAAGCTTTTGAGGTGTCACTGACTGTGTGAGACACTGCACAGTGATTGGATCACTGTCAGCAAATTCAATCCAGGGATGTGGCTGTCGAATGACAGCACCGCACAACATTTTATCGATTGTATAACTGTCAGCCACTGCTTTACTAAGAACAGGACAAGCACAGTGATCAGACGTATAGATTTCTGATAGTACCAGTGAATCCTGTCGTGCAGCTATAATTTAAAACAGCCATTCATCATACGTGGAGAGTTGTATAATGATGCTTAGTAATATTAAGGGCTATTCTCAAAATCCTGTATGTGTGTTTGTTCTATACTTTAGCTTACATTTATTTTGTGCTAATATAGTTACTATTGTAATCATGTGGTTAAACTGAATTCCTAAGTGTAAAACCTACAATATTTTCTGCACAATTATTCAGAATGGTACAGCTATGTAATTTTGCATTGCACATAGAAATGCATTACTATTTGTAGGAGACAGACATTTCTAATAGATTTTGTGAGTTTCTTATCAGCAAAAATACTGACGTGTTTACTGCAAAACAAGAGAAAGAAATTAAGGAAATAGTTTTGTTTTTTGACATTGTATAATCATGTGTCTGAACAGGGTTCCTATAAGTCATCATTACTGCCAACTGGGCATGTAAGTTGGATTTATATAATGGCTAGAATTTGGATGGATACAAAAGCCATTTCTTACATATGATTGGCTCAGCATATTTGGTTGAGTGTGGTACAGTACTTGACTATGAGTAGATGAACCAGTGACATTCTATATACAGAAATCTCAGACAATCTTCCTGTACACTCAGTGATGATTTTGTGTTTATTATGGTCGCGAGTACAACAATTGTTATTACTAAGTATTATTGTTATCATTATTCTTCTTGATTATTCTACTTACCTATAGTTTTTTTTTCCTCTGTGGGTTTTCTCAGTGTTTCCTGGATTTAAAATAATTTCACATACAGATCAAATTTAATCTTCGTATTATTGATAGAAAAATGCAGATGCAAGCATAGAGTGAAATTTTTATCGACAAACATTCAGTGCCACAGACTTGCATAGAAGTGTCTTCTGAGGTGAATGAAGTGAGAATTTGTAAAATAAAAACTTTGGAGTGATGCGGTCACAAATCTGACTCTATAGGGATGTTTGTGTGTATGTGAAAAACACAACCACTCTGTTTCTTAAATAAAATTATTGAAATTTACATCATTTTGTACAGTCCACAGAAAAAAACTAGATTTTAAAATAAGAATTGGCTTAGTGTCTGTGACTCATTCGTTTTTTTTTTATTACGGATTTTTGGAAAATCATTCTGACTATTGGACGTGCCTGCTGATGAAAAGTTAAAATTAGCTAATGCTATTCTGTGCGAGTGTGTGTGAGTCATGTATATATTACATTGTGGGGACTGAATGTCCCCGCAGTGTGATAAAAACCTGTTATTTTGATGTTGTGGGGACCACCTTTTTGGTCCCTATAAGGGCAGACTCAATTTTATAAAAAAAATCTCTGACTGCAATCAAAAAACTAAAAATGACAAAAGTCTTGTATTTTGTTTGGTTACTTATGGTTAAGGTTAGGGCTGGGTAGGATTTAAGGTTGTCATAGTTGGGATTTGAGTTTTTCCCTTAAAAATGAGTGGATAATCACGAAAAGGATATGAATACAAATGCACGCACGTGCGTGTGTGTGTCTTGAACAAACGAACGCAAGAAGGTTATAAGACTGTGAAAATGTGTTGTCTTGGCCTGTTTTATTCCCCAGGTGATTGAGGGAAATATTATTTAGAGACCTTGAAACTTTTTGTGAGTAGACTGGGCTATTTCTCATTATTTTATTAGACTTTAGCTAGACTGCTCATCAGTGTTTCGGTGAAGACCACAGCTTTCAAACTGTACACTTTTTCTTCTTTTTATTTTGGTTAATATGGTTATAATCTTAAAATTGTTCAATAAAATTCTGTTAAAAAGTGGTTAAGGAGTAGCTTCTTTGTACAAAACAAAAGGTCCAATACAAGCTGATACTACACACGCACGATTCTCAATTCCCAGAACATTCTTAGTTCTATATTTATTTATTATTTTGTATTAGTATCATAAACGGTAAGGCAAGTAACGATATAACATTCAACTAGTATAGCTCTATAGGATTTCTCCCCTGTAGATTATTTTTCATATACACACTTTTACATATACAATTTCGGTCAAGCCTTTGATGGGTCATGTATAACTTCGAACTAGTTTAATTAAAAATTCTATTATTAACAGCGTTTTACATACATTTCGTATTAGACGTGTTTGTATGAATAAAATCCACTGAAGGACTTTACATAACGCAGCTCTAACCGGAGGTAACATACGATCGCAGTTCTGCTCATTTTATTTCTCAAATTTGAAACTCCCCGGTGGTTTTATTCTTTGTGGATTCCGTTTCGAGATAATAACGAAGACAGCTTTTGCTGCGACATGAGCAGTGTGCCGTTACATAACACAACCCAAAGATCACATAACACTAGAAAACTGCCTGAACCAGAATCACAGCATAACTGGCATCACGCACAACTCAGCACCGGCCGCCATCTTACAGGACAGGTTTTCTGAACGCTATAAGGGATTGCTAGCTATAATAAAATGGCTTCAGCCTATTGCACTGATGTGCTTTATTGCAGTTACTTATTTTTAATCACGATAAACGCATGGTTATAATCTCGGCATAAATTTTGAGAACCACATTCCCTCGTTTTAGCATGCTGCAGTTCAATTTGTCCTTCTAAAATGAATTATATTTATATATACCAGATAATCAATACTGGTATGTCACTTAAGTCATTCTATTGATTAAATTATATTACGCACAGCGTGTAATTATTCGTTTGGTGCTTTCCCTTTCGTTTGTGGTCAGTAACACAAAAAATGATATTTTGAGCGGGTAGGACCTGTTTCTATCGGGCTTTATGAAGCCCGAGCAGCTTTAACTGTTACTCTACGCGGAAGTATTTCTTTTCCGGAAACGACCGATGTGTAGCGAACACACGTCACACGCACATACATGGGGAGGGGGGCACAAAATCGACTCGGGGCGGAAAAAAATTGGCCGACACAAAAAGCAATTCAACAATCCATAAATCCCGGTGAAGACCCATCCTGCCGAAAGAAAAGGAAAATTGTCGCTGCCAAAATAAAGAATTAAAAAAGCTGGATGCTTATTCGAGCGATATAAATATCTTATATATAACCCAGTAGCGGAAACTGGGTTTTTGCTAACGGTTTGAAAACAGCAGGACGGGCCGATGAGCGAGTGAAGGGAAAAAAGAAAAACAGAAGGACAGGCCTTCAAAACTATGTCTCAATCAGGCGTGCCAGTAACACACTAAACAAGGAATATTTCAAGTGACTCCTGCTTATTTTGTTACGAACATCTGGAATTAACGCCATTTTAGCTTCCGTATTTTTTATTTCAAAGTGAAGAGGCCGTGCAGAGATTACGAGGTTTGAAAGCTAGCTTGATTGGGAGCTATTTTTTATTGTTTTGGCTTGGAAAACTGTCAAATGAACATTTACCGACACATATAAAGCTTAACTTTCTGAAAAATGTATTTATATACAGAAGTATGAACTGAATGGATGACATACGCCGAAGTTTAACTGATGTTGAAACGTTCAGAAAGCCCTCAAGAATACGTCTTTCAAACTCCGATTGTTTTATGTAAAAAAGATTGATCAGCAGTAGAAAAATGTGAATATAACATGAAATGCGCTTCTCCCTCCCTCACCCTCTTCCCCTCTGTAAGTCGCATCACTTGATAAATCACTTTTGGGTTAGCTTACAACCATCAAAACGTACAGGTAAGATTTGTTTCTACTCTGCATTTAATCAAATATTTAATTTTCCGGCAGCCGTTACATATTTCCACGATCGGTTATTTATATAGTTTGCACATTTTAACAGATATACAGAAGTATGAATTATAACAGGCGGGGCCGTTAGTGATCCACATTAGTAATATATCCATATTAATGCAAAATAACTAATTTTTAAATCTACAGTACTCCTTGCCAGATGGATACGATGTCGCTATTTGATAATCGGTAACGATCCACAGTCATGCGAGCTAATCGCTGATACACATAACACACAATACGGTTTGATATGTCTACTGTGGATCCCAGTTTGTATTCAAAACAAATAAACAAACCCATCATTCCAAATACTTAATTTTCTTCATGCAAATAATCCTGAACCAGAAGTTAAGTAAATTTTAATCTAGGTATGTAAAAGTTTGGCCATGTGTTATTAGCCAAACTATCGCATTTTGATTTCAGTTATACTTGACACAAATGTGTCAGAAATGTGCATGATTAAATTATATTGCAGGCATTTTATAACTCTAAATGTAGACACGTCTAGAGTAGAATGGTAAATTATCTGGACAGACGTAAATAATCGTAAATGCTTATTTATATAATGCATTGTGGATCAACTAAAATGCCAGTACAGTATGGACCTTTAAATTAAGATGCCCTGTGGGATTGAATCATACGTTCAAAAACAAAACAGTGTCACCATTGTCATTTTTGTTGTATGTGGTATAATCAGGCTACAAGGTGATGGGGATTGAATAGATACCATAGCTTAAGCATCAGGTTTACGCTGTTATGTTTGGTTCATTATTCAGGTAAAGATATCAGTTAGATACCCACAGCTTTAAATGTAATTGAACTTTAAAATTATACTGCCAGCTCACAAATGACTACAAAGAGATTCAACATTCAGTTCCTGTTAATCTTTTATGATGTATTTCAGTGTTTTCCCTCTATGCACAACCCAAGACATGATTTGCTATCGAGTTGTAAGCAAAGTAGCTAAACATCAATTTCTCATGCTTTGTGTTTCCCTGGAAAGAGGTGTTTACAAAAAGAAATACACACACATTAAGTAAAAATGTATCCTGAAATTTTGATTTTGTGAATTCGGCTCTTACCCGTGTCAGTCAAGGCATTCATTTGTTTCATTATTCTTTCCAAACCAAAAATGATGTACTAAACTGTACAGGACAAATATGTATACCGTTATAGCCCTAGTTAGGACATCTTTTAATGAACTTTTTGTTTTTATATTGGCTTGTTTTGTTATGCTGCTAAGTAGTAAAGGCATGTTTTAAAGGGGTATGATATGAACACCATGTATAAATTGCACTTCTAATCCAGTCATTGGTAGAATTAAATAAATTGTTAAAATGAATGTGTAAATGCTTTAAGTATTTAAAACAGGCAGATGTCCTATATTGACATGTTTAAATCTGTTTATAAGCTGGGCTGTTTTGGAGGCAGTTAATGTGAGATACTTTCACACAATGATATTGCTTCAATTCCTGTGACTTTGATTGTAAATCTAACCTCATTCATGTATCAACTGCATTGTTGAAATCCATTTCAAATTAATATAGGCAAAACCCATCTTTCCTGCCCTTCAATATGCTTAATATGGCTGAGTGGCTGAAAGGTACAAATATTTATAATTTTCTCTGAATACTAATAATTTCTTGGAAATAGGCCTAATATGTTTTAAAATAATAAAACTGTTTCCTCGCATAAAAAGCAACATGTATTTAAAGGCTGGAACTCCATGTTTGCTGGAATTTTTAGTTTAACAAAATTATTTTAATACATTTGTCATTCAATAATTGGAAATTCAATAAATATGTTAAAGGTTAATGTTTCTTACAAATTTTAGTTCAGCAGTATGGAAGAATCTGGTACTTCAGTTAGACATTGTGAAAGGGCTCAGTGCACAGCTTGAATGTATTGATGTAGGTGTGTTTGATACTTACATTTTTACCAAGAATATGGCACATCTTAATTAGAGCTGAGGTCTAAAGTCATGAGGATAGTGATGCTGATATAAGACTGCATTGCTGCACTGACACAAACCCAAACATACACATGGATGCTTAAAGAAGTACATTTGCAGGCTAGTAATTGTTTACATGAAATGTTGACATTGTCATGCTTTATATTGATTTAGGTTTCTGCTTTTTTTCCTCCATTATTAGAATATCAGAGTTTGTAACATGTTGTTGAAACCTCCTGATATGTCAAATAGTAAATGGTCATTCGTTTATTACATTCCTGCATCTCAGTGTACAGTGTTTTGTAATGGATGCGTAATATGAGTTTTGAATGTTATGTTGTCGTGGGTTGAGAACAAAGGGTCCTCAGTTAAGAATTTGATAGTGAAGCATACGTCCATCCTCACTCACCAGTTTACATCAAAAGAACTGAGAAACCTTCCCCATTTTTGACATCTTGTTTGATAAAGAGCAGTTGGTTCCTAAAGCCAAAAATAACGGTTCCACTATGAATGGATTGCATGTAAATGGAGTTTATGGGTGCTTTGCTGATCAGACTGTACAACTGACACAAATATTATTTCAGTGTCAGTGAAACTGCTTTTATTGAGTTAGTTTTACATCTGAGTTCAAATTTCTAATTGTTTTTTTTCCTTTATTGTCATCACCATAAAGTTAATTAGTGTACCTAATTTACATGTCCTCAAGCAACACAGAACTAACTCTGTTGGGAGTTAATCTTTAATGTATGAGGCAGACTTACTCCATGTGAGTGTACATACAGAGTAGTTGTATCATGTAGTATGAGCTGCTTACATCTGAAGTATCATAACTATGGTTGAGCTGAAAATTTACACATGTCTTCATTTTTCAGTTTCTTCAAGAGATGAAAAGAAGGTAAGGACCAGGCAGCGGAAAGAAAGGAAATTTCCAGTTATTACCGCTGTTATCCTGTCTTCTGCTTTTTTTTTAAACCATTGCTGAGAGGCTACTGAACAAGAAGAAAGGAGTATAATGCAGAGAAGAGAGGACTGATACGAGAGATCTGAGTGGATTTTAATTGACCATTCTGTACTATTAAATTGGCAAAATAAAGACCTCATTTTCAAGGAATACAATGTAAATTTCCCAAAATTTTGGGAACTGAATGGAGAAGGGACATTTTTGTTACAGATACGAGAAGCATAGTATGGGAACCAGCCCTTTCACGAGACAGCAATGACAAAAAACACAGGCCTCACATCAAAAGAAATTGTCAGAGTATTATCTTGTACAAGTGCTATTTTTTGTGTTTAAGATCTTTGTGAGATACACGAAGAAGGACTGTCAAAAGGACACGTCAGTGCTCAAGAGCTGAGACTCTCAAGGGGCAAACAAAAATGCACAATAAATTCAAGAATAATACATACGGATAAGTTACTACCACTACTTAACAATATATAGTCACTGACGGACCTGAAGACTCCTCAATAAAATGTTGTAGACGGAATATTTGATAAAGGACAAAGGTTGCAACTGATAGCACAAAGCATTGATTAGAAAAGAGACTCGTATCCAGAAAGCCCATTGCCCACTTCTCTTGGATGGAGAGTGGGGGCAGTGGGCGCTCATCAGGTGGAGGGGGTGGTAGTGGTGGGGCAGGTACAAGTAATAGTGGCAGCGGAAACAGCAGCAGCGGTGCAGGAAGGAGTGGAGGGAGCAGTTCCAGAACTGGTGGAAGTGGCTCTAGTTCGGGGGCTTCAAACCGTAGCTCCTCAGTCAGTGGTAGTGGAATTATTATCACCACTTCAGGAGCTGGTGGTGTGGCTTCAGCACCTCCACCTTCAAGTGAATGGGAGATGTTCCAGTTTGGAAAATACAATTTGGACATCATAGAAATGCTGAGTGGACATCAGGCCCACCAGTTTAAAGGTCTTGGATTAGAGAGGCAACTGCAACATCAACAGCAAGTTCAGCTTCATCAGCACCAGCAGCAGCTCCAGCAGCAGCAGCAGGCTGAAACCTCAGGAGCCCTCCTGTCTGGACTCAGCCTTGGTTCACTGCAGGGATCTAGAGGCAATGCCTTTTCGGATTCCTCTTCGATTTTTTCCAAAATGAGTGCCCCTCCACCACCTCTGCCGCCACAGCCCTCGTCATCTTCATCATCCTCCCAGAGTTCTCGCAAGTCGAGCAAGATGGGTGTGAGTGGTAGTGGTGGGGGGAGTGCAAGTCATGGAACAGCATACCCACAGTTTTTGCGTTCATTTCATCCTGCTGAGGCAGCACTAGCCCAGGAACAGCTGCACCCAGGAATGGGACGGTTTGAGCACTTTGCCGGAGGCAGTGGAAGTACTGGAGGAGCAGGGAGTATTGGAGGAATTGTTGCATCTGCTCCTCCTCCACCACCACCTTTGCATCCTGGTCTCTCTGTTCCCCAAGCATCCCCTGGACCCCCATCTTCAACCCCATCTCCTTCGAGCTCAGCTTCCACCTCTAATAATCCTTCCAGCAGCAGCAGTACAGTAACCTCACTGGGGCACCAGCTCGTTGGGGCTCAGTCTGATGCTCGCAGCCTACACCAGCAGTTCAGCTGCATGCTGGCAGCCAATCAGTACTTCCTTTCTGGTGTGCCAGCTAATGCCAGCTTGGAGCAGTTTCTAGTCCAGCAGGGAACACACAACCATCTTGGTTTGGGTTTAAGTCAAGCTGGTGGGGAAACAAGTTCTGGACTTGCGCCACCCCCTGCTCTTCATCCCTCTCACACACACAGTCACTCTACTCCCCAGCAGCAGCAGCAGCAGCAACAGCAGCAGCAGCAGCAGCAACAACAGTTACCACCCCATGCTTTATCCCACCCCCACTCTCATTCCCACCCTCATCACCCTCTCCACACAGCCCCCCAGTCCTCCTCAATTGGAAGTTTTGATTTCCAAGGTATTCCGGTTCTCTCCTCTAATCAGCTAGCATCTCTGATGCAGCAAGAATCTGGCTTACCTCTCCCGTTGCCGCTTCTCTCTCTCCCAAAGGAGGAAGGGAAAGGGGACATTGCAGGTGGGGGAACTGGAGGAGGCAGACGTAAGAAGGCTATGGCTGGCTACCTGCCTCAAAGGAAGCTTGAGAGCAACAATAATACTAGCAGTAGCAACAGCCATAGTGCTGGTGACCCAAATCCCAGTAGTAGTTCTGGAAGGCATGGTCATGATGCATCTTCAGGCCTTGTTGGAGGCAGTGGAGGGGTTAATATGCAAAATGTTAGTGGAGAGCCCTCTCTCCTGACCTCTTCAGCTTCATCTTCCTCAGCTGTTTCATCTTCCTCATCATCCGCCCCTTCTTCAACCACAGCATCAGTCCTTGTAACAAATGGCTTACAAATTACCAAATCTGAAAGTATGGGTGCTATGACACCCACCATTACTCAACCTGAACCAGAGCCTCTTTATCACTGTGGGGAATGCGGTAAAACCTTTACTCATCTCTCCAGCCTCCGAAGACATCTGCGCAGTCATGGTTTAGTTTCTGGAAATGGTGGCAATACTAACAGTAGCGCTAACCCCATTTCCAATCCCAGCCAAAATCACCACCAAGCTGATGCCAACATACCCCACTCGACTCAAGACCTGACATCTCAGTCCAACTCGCATCATCAACAGCCACAACCACAAGCCTCTTTAAATGCTCAACAGCAACAGTCAAATCCAGCTCCCATATCTTCATCATCTTGCCCAAGTCCTGAAAAGAATCATCGTTGCCCTGAATGTGGAAAGGGATTTAAGAAAAGGGGACACCTCCTCCAGCATGGGGTCATCCACTCTGGAGCACGACCTTTTGCATGTACTATTTGCCAGCGTGCTTTTAATCGCCGTGAGTCACTCACCCGCCATGAGAAGATTCATGAGGAAAAGCCCTACCGTTGCCCAGCTTGTGGCCGATGCTTTCGTGAAAGCACCTCATTACTTAACCATGCAGCTTCAGGTACATGTGGCAAGCCAGGTCGGGGATCAAGGACGAGGCCTAGCACTAGTGGTAATAACTCAATGATTGGACAGGATGGACGCTATAGAAGTAAAATAAGTAAACCCGGGGGTATAGAATCAGGAGAAAGTGGAGCAGTGGAATACCCAAGTGGGCAACTTACTGGAAGGGTGGTTTATGGAAAAACTGAGGAAGAGGAGGAAGAGGAGGATGGAGTGGTTGGGAGTATGATAGAAGATCAAGATGTAAAATCAGCTTTAACATGTGAAGGTCTTTTCCAGTCAGGAAGGGGAGGTGTTGCAAGCAGTGGGAATAAAACAGAAGGAAAATATTCTGCTGACTACTCTCGGAATCGTTATCAGACATTGTACCGAGGTGATGAGTACCGTGGTGACTTCAAGCAACATCGCTCTCAAGCTAATCCCTCTCCTTGTTATCCTGGTGAACCCTCCTGTGGAAGTGGAATGACAGGTCCTGCACTCCGGAAAGCACCATTAGCCCCAACTCTACATCCACACCCACAAAGTCAAACTCAACAGCAGCAGCAGCAGCAGCCTCATCTTCCCCTCTCGTCTCTGTTAGATGACACTGAAGACGATGTAACCAGCTCAGTTAACAGTGCCATTTCGGCTATTGCTGCAGCTGCTGCTGCTTCGTGCATGCCTGGGGAGCACAATAATGCTGGCAGCCGGGGAGAAGAACGAAGGGATATTATTGGAGGGCTTCTTGGTGGACTTGGCTTAGGTCCACTTGGAGTTTCTCCTGGTGCCCCCTCATCGACATCTGGAATGGACAAGGCTTATAGGGGCACCCAAGATAGCATGGGTAGTACAATGGCACCTTCAACCCATCACAACCAACAGCAGCATCAGCAGCAGGCCTCAACTGTCAAACCTAAGCGGCCTCGGAAACCTCGCCCAAAGAAGGAAGCCGGATCAGGGGCTGGGGCTACTGGGGAAAGCAGCAAGCGAAGAACTCATTCCCAAAGAGGGACAAGTGGGGATCCTGAACGTCTCTTTTTGTGTAGTGTCTGTGGTCGTGGCTTCACACGTCGTGAAACCCTTCGAAGACATGATCGCATCCACACTGGGGAGAAGCCCCACCACTGTTCTGTTTGTGGAAAAAATTTCCGGGAAGCATTCCATCTTACCAAGCATCACACAGTTCATTCTGGAGAGAAGAACTACAAATGTGGTCTATGTGGGAAAGATTTTGGTTATGCGCAGAGTCTGAAGAGACATGGAAAACTACATCAGAAAGGAGAATTTGAGGAAATTCCCACAACAGCTGGAGGAAATAATAGCAACAGCAGCAACTCTGCTGTAACTCCTGGAGGGAGCATTAGCCAAGAGAGGGATCAAGGAAATTCTGAATCTTACTATGCCTATCCTCAGGGCATCAAGCCTCAAGGACCCAACATTCAGCCTCCCCCTAGACTATATACTTGTGCCATTTGCTGGAAGTCATTCCGTCATCACTTTCACCTGACTGCCCATCACCAAGCAGTTCATGAGGGTGGGGACAGGCTTTTTTGCTGCGAGGTCTGTGGGAAGGCCTTTGCTTACGCTAATAGCTTGACCAGACACCGGCTTTCACAGCATGGATTAACACGGACTGGCCAAGCTAATCAGCCAGGAGGTGGAGGTGTGCCTGGGGGCAGTGGAAGTGCAACTGGATCTGTTTCCGAGAGTGAAGCAGCTACAAATGCCCTTCTTCAGCTTGTCCCCCCCAGTGGAACCCATGGAGGACAGCAAACACACACCAGTTTACCCCACTCCCAACAACCTCCCCAACAGCCTCCAACTGGCTTCTCTCCTCTCTTCTACCTCCCAGAGCTGGCTCCTCCTCACTCAGCAACATCCAGTGCCCCCACATATTCTCATCCCCTCCCACATAATTCAACTTTGACCACTCTATCTAACCACCAGCAACCTTTAGGAATTAAGGGGGAGCCCATGTACCCAACTGGACCTGTCCATCCCCTTAACACCACACCTTCTCTTCATCCTCTTCTACTTTTGTCACCCTCTCAACAGCAGCATAATCAGCATGCACAGCACCTTCCAGTAGAGATGCAGATTCCACAACCACAGCAACAGAATTTGCAGTCTCAGGATGATCTAAAGAAACACCGGAAGAAGAAAAAAGGAAAAGAGACATTACATATTATAGGGACCACAGGAGGACAGTCTACAGACGGGGGGAGTGAAGAGAGGGATGAGAAGCAGAAGTCAGAGAAGCAAAAAGAGAAGAGGCGGAAATTGCTAAAGAAAAAAAGAGGGGGAATTCATCAACAGGAGCTTAGAAGAAAGAAGCGAATAGCACACTTTCTTAAGCTTAGACGAGCCGGAGGAGGGTTGAACATGGGGAAGCTGTCATCACTGGATGTCCCACAGAAATGCTTCCCATGCCCTTTGTGCCCACGAACTATATTTTCTCGCCAGTCAGCATTGTTGGTTCACAGGGCAGTTAGACATCCTCCAAAAACCAGCTGTCCCCAAGCCCGCCTGGAGTGCCCTGTCTGTGGAAAGCGCTCTCGTAAATTCCTTGCAGCCCTTAGTCATCGAGGGTTCCATCTCACCAAGGGATCTTTTTCTTGTCCACAGTGTCCCTTGCGTTTCTGGAATGGGGTGCTCCTAGGGAGGCACACTGTAGCCTGTCGAGGTGCTGTTGGGGGAGGCAGAGGGGGTAGTATGGCTTTGAAACTGAAATCTGCACCAAGCAAGGTGGTGAAGAAAGAGGGACAGGGTGAAACTGTGCTAATGGAATACAGGCACTGAGTCTTTTTTGTATGACTAGTAGAAGATTTTCACTTTGGAAATTTGGGGTGAGATATATTACTCCAGTGGTAGGTCACTTTTACAGGCAGGCTACTTTTGCCTTGTTTGGCTTGGACTGACTAAGTGTCATTACCACATCTCTCCCTAGACTCTGACTTACAGTATATGGAGTGATTTTTCTTTTTTGTAGAAAGTTGCATACTAATTTACATAGTTTGCAAAAAATCAACCTCAAAATCTCTCAAGTGAATGTGAGAGTCTGCAAGGACATGACTTTCTGTGCATCCTGATTTGTAAACACCATTTACACTCTTTGGCTAAATTTTCTGGGATGTTAAGCTTCATTGGATTAAGGCTAATACTGTTTCTTTTCTCCTGATTACCCTATGTAGTCTCTCTGCTGTGTATATTATGTAGTTAGTGTTCACTTAAGAGCCCTGTGAAGTTGTGCTTGACTGTTTTGTTCTTATAAAGTACATTTGGATAAATGCAGGAGGTCAGTGACTGAAGAAAAATGTTCTATTTGGTGGAAAGTTCAAGTGTCAGTGCATAAGACACTGTGTGTTTCTTGGTCAGTAAGTCATATTGTGAATTCACTGTTGTGAATCGATCAAGCAGGTAACAGCAAATCCCTAAAGGATCTATTAACTGATGATTATGAATACAAAGTATTAAAGAAAAGCAAATGAATTCGGTGGGACTTTTCTGGAAAAAAGGTGCAAAACCTCTGCTATGTTTTTGGAGAAGACTGATCACAAAACTTGATTACATACCAGTGGACAGTGCAACTTGTATGAAAAGACTGAAATTGAGAGGTGGGTCGGAACAAGCTGACTGTACTGTAATTTTTTTTTTTATTGCTATATTGTTTTTTAAGTAATGTTTTAGTTTGTATCATTGCTGTTTGGAGGGTGGGTAAGTGGGCGGGTTGGAGGGAGGGACTTATGGGCTGTCATTTTAAAAATTAAATGTACCAGTGTGTTTATGTTATCCTCCTGTCCAGCTACTCACCCAGAATTCGGGCCCTTTCCCTTACACACATGTAGTATTTTACTCAGTTGCATCCACATTCATATCCCTTTCCCAAGCTTTCTTTTAAAAAAGAAAAATAATACTAAATACATTTCTATCATATTATTTGCCTAGTGATTAAAAAAATAGTTGGAATATATTCAAAAAATAAACATTTAAAAAAGAATCATGTTATCATTTTTTCTGTAAAATAAATTACTGTACAAAGCTGGGTATTCTTTGAATAAGTGAAAATTAAAATTCTTCATTATTGACAAAACACCCCATTTGGGGCCAACAATGCGGTATCTTATGTACGTGGCATTTAACAGGGAGATAATATATGGCCATATAAAGTACAAGATTGGTTCATCTTTTACACATTTACAGAAATGATGATTAAACTTCAGATTTTTCCAGTAAAACTGCTTTAACTCGAAAAGAATTGAATTTAATGCTAATTTAAACAGACAAAATGTACTGATATCATCCTTCCACAAGGTGGAAGTAAAAGCTTAATTTACTGCAAGCATGCGTTAGAAAATTCCTCTAAGTGCAACAGCATGTTTTTAAGTGTTGTGCGTGCTTGTGATTTTCTTTTTTATGCATACACCGGCAAGCATTCACATGAAACCTGAACAACTTAAAGTCTTTGTAAATAGTCAGTGGAGACATTTTCAGTGCTTGTTTTATTATGAAGTATGTATCTAAACGGTATGTCTAGTTTGTAGATTCAATAATTGGTGTCACTGTGCTTTATGAAGAGAACTAATGTGTAACTCCGAAAAATCGCTTCAGCGTGCTTGCATTGATTGTTTCGACAGACTCAATAATCTTCCGCAGTAGTCCTTACATTATATGTGCCTTCTTCAGTACACGGTGTTCTTTGACTAACCTCAGATCAGAAGAGATAACTTCAGATCAGTTCCACATCTCCGGCACACCCAGATCCTAACCACTATACGACATTTTCTCTGAATTTCTCCATTGTGGTGTCCATCGATATTTTATCTTAATTCTGTGCTGTGTACTTTCTCCCAGATTCCTTAGAAAGTTTAGTCGCATCCAAGACCAAAAAAGAAGAATGTTTTACTCGCTGTACAGTATGCAGAACCGATTAATTGTATGACTGCATTTACAAGCAAAAATGACAGTTGTAAAGGTTCCATTTGGACACGCTATATATTTAATAACAATGTGTTGACGCCTCAAGGCATTGAACAGCCACAATGCAGAAACCTTTAGCCAAAATAGGACATTTTTAATAAACTGGTTTTCTATTTCTTTTTTTTCTAATTTATGAGTTCTTGTACCACTTGAGACAGAGCCGAAAGTAATTTCAAAGTAAACTAAAGGAGCACCGCACAAACTTTTATAAAAAAAAAAGTTTATAAATGGAATATATATCAGATTTCATTCATCACGTCGTGTCTTCTGTACCTTTCCTTAAAGAATGTGAATATGAACATACTTGAACAAAGAAAGAGGTATTCATCTGATATGGTATACATACAATTGAACCCAAATCAGCAGTTCACTAACGGGGCGTAACACAGACCTATGGACCATTTTCGCTGAAATACATTGCTTTCATCTCAAGTTGGCGTTTCGAAAGAAGATTTTCATCCTTTATTAGCGAAATCATCATAGTAATTTTAATCAGGATTTCACAGGTTCCTGACCACAACTATAGATTTTCTACAAATCGGTAAGTTGCTAGTTCAAAATAGTCTAAATGTTTTTGGCAAGTCAAACAAAGAAATTAAAACTTGCTACTATTTAATGGAGTCTCCTCGGCCTTCTACTTTTGTTTTGCTGCCTTCAGCCTCACGCCACATTAGCCTGGGCAAAACAGTGGGCAAGGCCACTGACCTAGTTTAGTCCAATCAAATATTTTCTTACGTGTTTGATTCTACTTCTGACCAATCACAGAAGCGATTTCACAGGACGGGAAACGCCTACTCGTGTCGCGGCCATGTGAGCGCAAGCACGGGTACTTGTTACAGAAGAATGCTACGCCTTCCTTTACATGTTAATAATTACTGCCGTCAAGTCGATGTTCACTCCTGGTAATAATATAGACAGTATTTCCCAGGTTTTTTTTTAATTTTAAACAAACAGTGTACTTGTAGTCAGTGTACCACCACCAACACCACCACCACTACTACTACTATTACTAATAATAATAATAATACGTATGTTGTTAGCTATAAACTATAATTTTACTATTTTATAAATTTCAGCATGCGTACTAGTAATTGAAATAATTTAACTTTTGAGTTCTTAAATCAGAAATCAGTCATGCAACACATTCACTATATGAATGACTTTTACTGTACAAATGGCATATATTATTGTCATTTTCATTTTTGATATTATGAGCTTAATACCTCATTTGTTTGGCGGCCGAGCCGAATATTTTCGCTCTCCCGAAGGAGTGCCTTAATTACAGGGAAAACATAGCGTAATGTTGTAATAAAATGGGCTGTCTTACAGTGTGTGGGGCGTGGTTATTTGTGGGTGTGACTATCTGTGGAGCGTGGCTATTGGCCTGCATTTCATTATCATTGAGCGACGTCACCGTGGCTTCGTCACGGCCCCGTGGGGGTGACGTCGGGGGGCAGTCAGTGTTCCTCCCAGCTGACTCTCGGCGCTGCTGAACCGCAAGATACGCCTCGGTAGCTGGATACATATATAGAAAGAGAAAGAGGGGGGAGGAGGAACTAAAAAAAGAGCTGGAGTGAACAACAGAGACAAGAGAAGAAAATATCAACCAGCTGCTAGTCATAATAGCTACTGTATTCCTGTTATTCAAATGTCTGTCTTTATTATTTTTTTCGTCCATAATACCGAGGGATCGCCTATTTTTTTCCATTGATTTCTTGATTGCTTTTTTCCCCTAATATGAAGCTGTTTCTTTTCAAGTTGTCTTGTGTTATTCGGAGTTTCACTACCAGCATTGCTCTGTTAAGTTTCTCCGCATCTCGCTGTATCGTGCTTGCTATTGCTTGGTGATTTTTTTTTCCCCCCAGCGATTTCGATATTTTGTCCTGATCGCCAAACATTCTGCTCATTTAATCATGGACGAATGAAGAATTGTTTTGCGACGATCAAGCCAGATTGACATTCTCTGTAAGGAACCACTCTGTTTAAATAAAACGGGAAAATAATCGACAATATTGAATTCGTTGCCTGTCGACGCGGGAATAACAAGACACTTTTATCTCCATATATATTTAGCTGTAATATTTTCATGGATCCTCGCATTGATTCATCGGTTACATATGTACCAAAATCCATTTGACGATTCTTTCATGTTTATCCAAGCGGATTATATTGCGAACCCTGGGTACACTTATAATACCTGAATGAGCAACGTTGTATTCGTTTTTGCCAGCTTATTTAACCGGTGGGCTTGAGACGTACTAAAATTTGGAATATGGACAGGTTTTCAAAACTCATTTCGTGCAGCTTGACGTGAATCCTTCACGAAATTCAGTTTACAGTTAATCGGTAAATTGGCAGCTGGTTCCTCGGCTCCTTCCTGTCAAAGCAGCCTACTCCTCTTAAGGCATTAGCTGTCGACTTGCAATGTCCAGGCCGATCTCTCATCTTGTGCCCCCTGACATCCCTGCTGGAGCTAGTCCACAATTTGGAAGCGGTAACCAAGCAGGAATGACCCCGGGTGCGGGACACCCGACTTCCATGGCCAGTTTGAAGTCCCTTCTGCAGTCACCCTCAAATTGTGATCAGAGGAGCAAGGACTGCCGCGATATGAAAGGTAGGATTTTTAGATGCGTTTTATCTGCCCCTGCTGTATAATTTTCCTTATTGATAACACTAAACCGAGTAATTTAAAGTTCCGTTCTCGGTGTATTTCTTTACAGGGTATCAGTCGGTGAAAGCTTCCAGTAAATAAAGACTAGGTTTGAGAGACAATGAGTATTGTTTTTCATGCAATCTCCAACAGCAATTTTCAGTTAACATTTTTGTGCATCGTTTTAGAGTACTTGGAACTATCCATCTTGAAAGACATCGTAACAGCTCCTTATTGTTAACAGTATGCAAGGGTAGAGATTTTGGGCCCCATGAAAGCCTTTCATATTGGACCCCCAACCCCCAAATTATGTTCCTAATTTTTTTGGGCCCCTGTCACTCAGGGGCCTTTGGAATCATTCTACCTTTACCCTTCCTTATGGTGCCCCTGACAATATGTTATTACACTGCCTTGCTCAGTCAGCTATCTTTCCTCTTCGTGTCATCCTAAGTGTCCTGTTTCTCTGTCATTCTGAGTAAATGCAGTGAAGGAAACATTCCTGAGCAGAATCAGAAACACTGAACATGTCGTATTATTTCAGTGTCAATACATGTATTATCTCTTTGCCTATTTGGGTTTATAGAGTGTTGTAATTTGTCTTTCCTATATTCATATTGTATATGTGTGGCCAGTGATATTACCGAGGCTTTCTGTCTCTATTAAATTTACACCAGTCTTTTGGTTTCTCTGTTTCCAGAGAAAGAAGAGCCAGAGGAGATGTCCAGCTCTATGGATGGTGGTGACCATGGGAGATCCCTGAAAGCCCCCTCCCAGTCAGCCTTTCTGGGCCCCCTGCTGTGGGAGCGCACTCTGCCCTGTGATGGCAGCTTGTTCCAGCTGCAGTATATGGACCTGGAGGAGTTCCTCACCGAGAACGGGATGGGGAGCCTGCACCATGGCAGCTCGAGCTCCGCCCAGATTCCCTCCCAGAGTTCCCAATCGACCATCCCCAGCCAGAGCTCTCAGTGTCCCCCGTCCCCCCCACCTCCATGCTCATCGTCGTCCTCCATCTCCTCACCTATCTCTTCATCTCCCTCATCTCCTTCACTGCTGCCGCTCAATGTGCAGCAAGCAGGGCCAAGCTTGCGAGCAGAGTGTCTCCACGGTGAGCCATGGTGGAGGGAGAAAATGGAAATGGAGGTTGATGCTGAAGCTGGACTTGCAATGATCTTGGAACAAGTGCTTGGCCATCTAGACAGAAAATCCTCCTCAGTGCTAGAATAGAAGAGGTTGTAGTAGAGAGGTGAATGCCTGTCATTTGGGTGGAGTATGAGAAGGAGATAGAGGTGTGGGTGTGGTTTTACAGTGTCATGGTTCAGCCCTGAGATATGTATTCTGGGCTGAGGGATAGGGTTACATTTGGGTCAGTGCTGCTGTGTATTTTAGTATCTCAAATAAATTTACCCAGAAAATTTTCATGTATAATGAATTCAGATTGCTGCAGATTGTTGGTCACGCTAGAATTTTAATTCCATGAATGCACCCTATGAACAGTTTGGAGGCGATTCTGCACTCATACTAGCGCAGTGATGTCTGTCATGGCTTGTGTGAAAACGGAATAGCACTACAAATGATTTCTAAAAGTATGGTAGAACAGGGAAAAAAAACACCTAGAGACCCACTTTTATTAGTAAGGAGCCATGAGGGCGAATGTGGTTTGAAACTTCAGAAACGCTGAAGCTGCACGAGAATAGGACTCAGGAGTGGAAAAAGTATGTGTAGGCTGTGTGCGTAAGGCTCTGACCCCCCCGCACGCTGGCTCCATGGGCACACGGCTCTTCACGTGCTGCTGAGGAGGGGGGGCGGAGCAGGAGAGGGAGGAGGAGGAGCAAAGGCCACAAATGCGGAGATGTGACTTTGGTTGCTGTTTATTGAGCTTTATGTCACCGTAGGTTTACAGTGTAAAGAAAGAGCTTGTTGACTGAGAAACTGACTGGGTTGAGAGAGTGAGTGTGTGTTTATATATATATATATATGTGTGTGTGTGTGTCTGTGACTGCAATGAAAAAAACTAAAAATACCAAAAGTCTTGTATTTTGTTTGGTTACTTATGGTTAAGGTGAGGGCTGGGTAGGGGTTAAGGCTGTCATAGTTATGGTTAGGGTTTTTCCCACAGAGATGAATGGAGAGTCTCCCAAAGACATGAATACAAGCAAGTTTTTGGTTATTATGCTTTTGGGTTGTTGTGTATAATACGTGTGCTCTTGTGTACATACATTTTAAAGTTTAATTTTTTTTTCTGTGATTTTCAATGTTTAAAAATAGCAATATGTCAGAATTTGCATTTGAAATTTGGTCATCGATAATTGCTGAGATTTGGTAATAGATGAATGCTGTTTCCTTGTGCTGCCACCTGATGGTCAGTCAGTGTCACAACTTGTCAGTCTGGGCTATTTTATTATAATTGTGCCTCCTGTAAAAAAAAACACAATGCATTTCTTGCCAATGACATCCATTTCTTGTTTTTCAAATATTTGACTTTGTATCTAACGTAATTTTTTTCCCTGCTTTTTCAGGAGGCCAGGCAGGGTCTCTGGATTCTTCCCCCGCACAATCATCATCTTCCTCTTCCTCCTGTCCCCCGCATCCACTCCCCACCTGCTCTGATGGGAATGAAATCATAGTGAACTTTGACCCCGACCCTGCAGACCTGGCACTGTCCAGTATTCCCGGACAGGAGGCCTTTGACCCACGGAGACGTCACTTCACCGAGGAAGAGCTCAGACCTCAGCCGATAATCAAGAAGGCCCAAAAAATGCTGGTACCAGACGAAATGAAGGTACCCAGATCTCCATATTGGCCAAAGGGCCATCTAAGGATGTTCTGCATCTACCCAGCCTTTGTAAAAAATACCATAGCTCGTTTTTTAAATTACTGCTTAGATATTGAAGCTGACAGAATCCGCCTCTGTTGAAAGACGCCAGCAAGGAGCTGGATATTTCAGTACAAACTGCAATAACAAGTTTGGACATAAAGGCTTGTATCTTAACCAAATCAAACATTTTCTGAAATGGTGACGTTTACTGTCAGTGTCAATTGCTGCTTGGAGGTTTCACTATTGCGTAGCAGTTATTGGTTCCACTTTCATGTTCCCTCTAATCGACCATCGTCTTCACCCTATCATCAGTACCTTGTGGTACAGGTTATGTGTAAGTGATGAACACACTAATTAATTGTCTATATTCCTCAGGGTCCATTGTTGTTCAAGCATGTCTTCAGTCTCCAGTCAGTAAACATTCCTGGATATATTTCCCAGTTTGCTCAGTAGAGGTTGATGATGCAGGGTAGATTTGTTTGCCCAGATGTGAGTGGTATTATTACACTACTGAGAGCAATAGGCCATGCCTGGTTGATTTTCTCCTGTATATGTAGTAAGTTTAATTCTGTGTGAATATACAGTGGTACCTTGGAACACGAACTTAATTTGTTCCAGAAGGCAGGTCGAGTTGTGATTTGGTCAAGGTCCAAGTTGAATTTCCCCATAAGAAATAATGTAAATGAATTTAATCCCTTCCAGACCCCCAAATAATTGCCTGTTTAAACTTATTTACCTACCTAACTAATGATAAAAAGCATTAACGAGCAATATAAAACTAATACACACATGAAAATGATCACATACAAAAGCAATAAACATGAAATAAATAACAATCCCATACTCCAAAGCGAGATCAGACACACGTGCACCGCCTTCAAGTCTTGCTATAATTTCTATTTTTTAGGTTCTACAGTTGCTCTCACTGGTTTGCTGATATCACTGCTCACTTTCTTAGGGCCATGATTACTGTATCACTAGATGTACTGCATATAAAGCACAAAAAAATTCACATTGAACACAGCTTGCACACGTCAAACTTGGTTGAGAGGCACAGACCGACAGCGATTCATAGGCATCACCATCACAGTAGGTCTGTTTGCCTTTGTGTCAGCTCATCAGAGACACGCCTCGATCCGTACAGGTTTTAGTGTGTTAGCTGTTTTGTTTTGTTGTGTTCCGAGTTTTCGGTTGAGTTGCGGTTAGATTTTTCTCAACCAAGCCATTCGAGGTCCGAATTGGTAGAGTTGAATGCGTCTCGACCCATACATATTTTAGCAGGAACGTTCCAAGATTTTGGTCAAGGTCCAAGTTGAAAAAAATTCAACAGACCCGTTTGATGTCCGAGTTGGTCGATGTAAGAGTTGTTCAAGTTCCATGGTTCTACTGTACTAGTGAGGCAGTGAGCAATATCTCTGACTGGGTTTCTCTGGCGGCACTTCTAGGCCGACCCTAACAGAACTGCTCTGCTCTGGCCTGTGTCATCACTGCCCCTTCACCCACAGGATGAAAAATACTGGAACCGGCGGTGCAAAAACAATGATGCGGCCAAACGATCGCGGGACGCCAGGCGCCTGAAGGAGAACCAGATCTCTGTGCGGGCGGCTTTCCTGGAGCGGGAGAATGCGACCCTGCGGCGGGAGGTGGCCGACATGCGCAAGGAGCTGAGCCGCTGCCGTGATATTCTCAGCAAGTACCAGAGTCGCCACGGAGACCATTAAGGCGAGACCACGATGTGTGGAGGACGGGAGGGGCAGCTCTCAGGAGATGATGTCATAGAGGGATAAAAGCAAGAATCTCACTCCATTTTAACTATTGTAAACATATATATTTGTGAACTAAAGAGAACCTGATGGTCAATAGAGAAAATTGTTGTAGATCTCAGAGAACAAGTGAAGAGGGATGATTTTTAAGAAATGATTGCAAAAATATGTTGCCATAGGAAACTATTTTTTTATATTTATAGAACGAGATAGGGCAGGAGAGGACATTATACAATCATTTTGTATATTTTATAAATTAATGGACGGGATTTTAAATATACAAAGAAATGAAGAAAAGGTACATTTGTTAACACAGAATATATTTGAAATGGGAATGGTTTATAGAAGAATAGACAAGCTTATATTGAGGGTGAAGTGATGTAAAATATTTGTTTCTCTTAGACTGGCATTGGGAGTAGAGTTTTTACGGAAGCACACTGAAAAACGGTCCTAAATTGTGTTGTGAAGTCATTAATTTTTTATGCTCTTTAAATCTTCTGAAATCAATATGTGTCTCTGATTTAAGTAGTATGGAAATAAGAGGGACAGTGTGAAATCAATCAGCTTCAAACTATAGTCTAGATGTTTTAATATTTCAAAGGATAGACATGTTTTAACCCCAAATGGGGCCCTGGGAGTGGGCAGTCTCTACTCAGCGGTGCAAAGCAATGTAGCCGTAGAGGACGCTGTGCCTCTCTCTGCGGGGCTGAGGCACCGAATCGATCTGGCCTACACTCACCCGGGCCGATAACCAGTTTGATGAGCACCTCGGCAGTGTGCCGCCTGCAGAACAACACATCACTCCCCCCCATGGCCTGAATCAGCACTTTCCTTATCTTTTTTTTTTTTCTTTTTTTTTAACTGTACCTCGTACATAACTGTGGTTCTCAGATAGGGTGTCGTGGGTCAAAACTGCATTACTGTTTTTTTTTTTTTAACCAATATTAAAAATATTGTATAAGAACAAAATCCTCTGAAAAACAAATATACTGCTAAATTATTAACTTTGTGTAAATCCTGGTTTATAAGCTATGATTGAATACTTATTGAATACTTAAGATTATATTCATTAATGTATTGTTCTTGGAGACTTAATTCTAATAATTGAATTACATAAGTGTAGTCTTTTTTAAATGTTATGAATATTACTTATTATAAAAGCTCAGGATATTTTACTAAAATAAAAATGTTTCCAATCTGTGGCCTTTAAGCCTTGGATACTGTTCACTGGCTTCTCTCTCACGCCTACAGCTGACATTTCCTCAGTTATGCTCTGTTTGTGTAACTGTTCTCTATAACGTCTTCCATCAGTCATTAATCGCAGTCTCCCTGTTATCAACATAAATCACCAACATGTTAAAAGTGATATTCCATTCTTTTATTCTGTATGTACAGTGTATGTCTGGATGTGTGAGTATGTAACTGTATGTGTATACATGCAACATAAGATTCTGACAGATATGCAGTATTTCAGATTTATTGGAGTAAAATGATTAGACATCCATTTTTAGGGATTGTTTTACTTTGTTACTTCTGAACCAGTTAATTCTTAATATCCAGCTCATTTTAGGTGAAGTATATAGAATAAAGCAATTTTGCAATGCAATCATTGGGCCTCCTAAGCCAAAGATTAAAGATGTATTATCAGTTCCATACTATAGTTACCAGTGTGTTAATGATTATGACCTTTGTTTTGAGTTAATGTTGTGATTTCCTTTTTCCAGCTATTATGGCACTAAGGTGGAATATGCACTTTGTACTACTAACAACCACCCTTTAACCTGCGCCTGCATGTCCCCAGTGTTTTGTTTCCCACAATTCACTTTCCTGTGGGCCAGGCCTTATATGAAAAATAAATTAATATATACCCTTTTAAAACCCAGTTTAATAGTGAATTCAAAAATTCTAAGACACAAGAATAAGCAGTACACAAGAATAATGTGGAGCAGGACACTGGGAATGACCAGAAACCAGCCAGGCAAAGGGCAGAAGTGAAAAGGTTGTCCTAAAACTAAACTTATATAGGCGTTAAAGCTTAAAGCTTTTCTTGCCTCGTCTATTACTGAGAGCCTTTGTTACCCAGCCTGGACTGTGGATTATTTAGACCCTCTGATAATAATTATTAATATGTAGCATTCACTACAGATCCCATCAGCACGCACTGCTACCCAGCTGCACAGGTAAAGCCTACTGGTTCTTCCCAAAAGATGCTGGAGAATGTAGTTTTCCAAAAGTGGCAATAAATGATTCACTTTTCACTGACTACACCTTTTGCTTTAACTTCTAGGTTGATTCTGTCATCATTTACTTCTCTCTTGGTTTTGTTTTTTGGTTTATGAATTATATAATGACTCGTAGTCCCAATGACAAAGTCTGTGCAACAGGCTCCATGCTTTTATGTGTCCCGAAAGTGGGGAGAGGGCTTAAAGAAACCGAGTTACTGCGAGATCGTGTGCACATACTGCTTCTGTTGTATTTAGCCAGAGGAATGGAGTGAGATAGCGTGTGTCAGTGTGCATGTGTGTGTGTGTGCACTCCTGATGCTACCTGATTGGTGTTTGGACATGCTTGGTCCATTATCCGCTTATTTTCACAGAAATAGGTGAAAGGTCACCGTTTATTTATTTTTTTTGTTCCCCAATTTTGAACGTTCAATAGAAAACAGATGTTTTACTTGGCTGTACCCTCCCCCCCCCCCCGCCATTCAGTATCGCCTGTTTTCTGTCAGCCTCTTCCATAACCCACCAGCCAGCAAAGAAAGATGGACTGTTCTCTTTTCTTCCTTCTAGCTGTCTGGGCTTGTACTGAGCGTTTTATCTCCCAAGCAACTGGTAACACAATGACTTTGGTGCATTTCTTTACATTGATAGTGCTTTAAACAGGAAGCCATTTAGTATTTTTTCTCACAGCATGCAAGTAACTACATATCTGAATGTGTGATTCTCTGCTCTCTGAAAATCAAACTGTGCAAGAGTCACCGAGCAGCAGATTCCTGAGTTTGTGTCTTCCAGCGATGCTGTTTGTGCGCGTCTCTGTTATCAGGGTTTGTTGGTATCGTTCCGTAAGCTCCTTCACCGCTTGGTTCCTTAGCAGAACAGACAGAATCATGTCCAGACAGTGTCTTGGGCAATGAGAGGCGAAGCAGCTGCCCAAAGCGCTGCCAGATGGACAAGGACTGTCCAGGCAGGAGAAGGTGCTTGTGTGACGGGCAGTGCGGGCTCAGCTGCGTGATTCCAGGTGAGTGGAGGAGGAGCAGAGGGAGCTGAACTCCAGCTGCGTTCCACACCAAACTCGTCATCTACCTTCACTGGCTCGAGTGCCAAGGCTGCCATTGTTTTTCCTTCCATGTGCAGCCTGTGCACCTGTAACACGCTTGCTGATCTGTTTGTGTCCATATCTTCTATCTTCTCCATCTTGTTCCCCGCTGTTCCCATTAACATTGATTTTGGTGTCCTGTTTTTTTGGAATCTCCTTCCTCGGTTTTCACTCATTTACTCTTCCCGGGATTTTTCCTAACATCTCCCCCCACCTCCTCCACATACCTCCCAGGTCGCACCTGCCCTTGGCCCCTGCCTCTCAACCCAAACACCATTTCCCTGCTGCTCTCTCCCGCTCCTTCCTTCTCCGCTATTTCTGAAACCCGCTGCCAGCCTGGCTTCGCGATGGCTGGCAGTATGGAGGCGGTAGTCCGCCGTTGTCAAGGCGATCGTCGATGGAGTGGCGAGGATCCAACATGCACAGGTGAGTTCAAGGGTTGATGTGTGGGCTTTGTTTGCTCTTACTTTGAATCTCATTGCAAAGATCACGTGTTGAGTTAGGAAGTGCGTGTGTGTTCATTTGCTTGTTAGTTCTAGGATGAATGTTACTGAATGGTGTTGTTTCCAAATCAAATCAAAGTTTATTTATCAAATGCACAACAATACAGCAAACAGTGCTAGATGCGACCAATGGAATGAGTTTCCCCTTTACACCTTTAGTAAATTCACCGCCAGCTGCTGGTGAAGCTCTTCGGTTCTATGTACTTTGCGTGCGACTGCTGTTTGCTGAAGTATTCCCGGTATTCGAGGGCTCTTTCATGCACTGCGAGAGGCGGTGGGAGGTAGCCCAGCTCACCGTCAGAGCTCTTTGTGGAGCTCGAAGCACCACACTTCCCTGCTGGCTTGGCAGGTAGCGGATGCCCCCCCCTCCCCCCACCCCCAACAAAGGCTCCATCCCGGCAGCCCTGTATCTGTAAAGTCAAGCTCTGCAGGAGTCTCTGCTGTGTAGGTGCCTTCAAGGGGAGCCCGTTGCTGTATTAGGTACAATAATACAGCCCTGACACACTGCAGCTCCAAAGGCCTGCCATGCATTATGAACACATCACATGCGCTCTCCTTGTCTGTTTGGCCGAGGACAATGTGAAGTTTGTCTCACCTTCTTTGGGTGTAGCAGAAGAAACAGTATAGTTCTCCTGTATTGGATGTTGTTTATCATTAAGACAAAAGAAAAAAATCTTAGGGGTATGAATCTGTATGCTAATAAGACTGCAGCTGGTTTTTCCCGGGTTCACACGTCTTATCTGAATTGTCAGACGTGCATTTAAAGTACTGCTTCTTTTCCAACGCAGAGCCTAAGGCCTCCTGCCTCGTCTCTCGTCCTGTGCCATCTGCGACATCTATTGAATAATTACTTACTGGTTCAGAAATTACAGTTGAAGGCGCAAACAGACATGCACAGGACATATAAGTGTTAAGGGACACGGCTCAGTAACGAGGCAGCCACCGTGCAAATGAATGAGTTTGTATCGTTCGGTTGTCGCAGTCTTGCCTTGCCTTGCTTCGTCTCCATTCAAACAGCTGTTCCAGCAATCGGGCCACGTTACTGCCCACTACCATATGAGATCCGGAACGAATTTACAATCAAGGGCAGTTCTGCAGTCGGATCAAATATCCTGTATAGCTGCCACCCTGGGTAAGAGACAGGGAGATTTGGTGTAATGCATGCTCTTTCAGATTGATTCTTTTATTACAGCTAATGTATTTTGCACATCACATGAGTATATCCAGATGCAGGTAATTCACTTCTTAATAAACATTAGAAAAATGTATTCAAATATAATTTCAGAGGTGTTACATACACGGAGCTAATTTATTACAAACTCACTGTGTTATATAGAGGGCATCTTACAGGCCTTTTCAACAAAAGAACCTGTATTGGTCATGCCCCAGTGGCAAAAAAATTTGTTTACCACAATTTATAATTTCCTGTATGTTAATGTATATGTGTCATAATTAACCTTCAGTTCTTCCTTTATTTGCTCCTGGTTCAGATTTAAATTGGTCGGAAACAGGGAGAATTTCTGTCAGCAGAACCAGACTTGGCAGTACCCTCATCCCATCTGTCAGAGTAAGTGTCTGCATATCATTGTTATGCAGAGAGAGGGAGAACAGGCTAGAGGTGGCTGAGTACGAGCTGGCAGATGACGTCCCGCGGGCTTTATAATTCAATCTGATGCCACTCACTGTGCATGTAAGCTGATGACGGCTGGCGAGGCTGGCCTTTGTCCGCAGCATTGTGCTGCCACCTGGGGTTCACAATTAGCAACTGCACTCTTGCTTAGAGGGAGCCAGTGTGAGGCCTGCACTGTGTCCCCCCCCCCCACCTCTCATGCACAGCAGTCCTCCCTGCCTTTTCATTTCCCTCCCTGTCAGGAATTTTCTGCCCTCCACCTGCTGAAGTGGACCATGGTTATCTGGTGGCTGTCCAGCGACAAGAGTATGAAGTGGGCGGGGATATCTATTACCTCTGCAAGAAGACATTCCTATTGGATGGGCCCAACCGGGTGAACTGCCAATCAAATGGCACCTGGAGTGAGGTTCCTTTTTGTAGAGGTAAGACAGCAACGAGGCTGCAGAATGGAGGCATCCAAAACCAATTTGTTGTCTAAATCTTCACTGTACAGCAAAATGTCAGTCGCTCTCATGTTCAGCCCGCTGCACAGTCCCAGCACAGCGAAGTCGAGTGACACTGGGAGGGCTGAAGCTCTGGCCTTATGAGATTCCCGACGGCACTGTCCAGCATGGGGAAAACGTCACCTTCTACTGCAAACACCCCGAGAAACAGTGCAGCTTCACTGCTGTGCAGTCCTGCTTTGATGGTGAACTACCAGCACCAGACTGCTACCTTGGTGAGATGCCCACGACAATGGGTAACATTATTAAGTTTGTGAGGTTATGTGTAATTGAATCATTTATAATAGTTGTTAATTTTCTTCTACTACCAGTACGGTGGATTATATTGTTTATCTAGGGTATTACAGGGGCATCCAGAAAATGTATTACTCAAGAGGATTAGGTCAGAAACATCTTTCAAGTATAGATGCTATGTTTATCCATGGCTACTTCGTACATATATTACCAGTATCTCCAGAAACATGAAAAAATGTGGCATTAGAGTGAAATTTAATGTTTTAATAATACCAAAATTATATGTCCTCTCTCCATCCCTTTCTTAGAGCCGACTTGGCTGCAGTACAAAATCTTCCCCCATCGCCTGGTTTCAGAAATTGAGCTTTGTAATTCCAGTGACTAGTGAACATCGGTGATCTCAACTACAGCAAATAGCATGCACTGCTTACTTTGGATCAGTGTCATGCTTTTTTCCTGCTTTGTAATTGATTCTTTTCTGATTCCACTTTCTCTCTCTGCGCTGCTCATTAACAAAAATGTTTATGTATTTTGTAAAATGCCTCCAGGGTCTGTTTTTTGGTTAATTTTTGTTAAACTCACCATGTTATTAACCAGGGTTGTCTATATTTATTTGACCAGTTTCTATACTATCCAGAGGTCTCTCTCTGTAGAATTTTAGTCGACTCGTCCTGCCAGCTATCAGCGTAAAATAAAAACTGTCGACTAATACGAATTGCGTGGTTATTCTTCACACGTGTCGGGCAAATTTACGATCAAAACAGATTTAAGCAACGGGGTGACATGCTAATTTAATGAATATAACGAATATACAACTAAAGGTTCAGCTTGTGACCGTCTCAGACCCTGAACCCTGGACGGGCGGACCTTTCGACGGTGCAGCTTCCAGCCGGACAGGGACGTGTGCGACACCCTTAACACCGCCCCCCTCCGTCCCTCCGTCCCCTCCCTCCTCCCGTTCCCTCTCTCTGCATCTCTCCTCTCATTCATATTTGGTCTTCCGGAAGTAAGCGCGGCTCGGGTAAGCCAGTGTGCCCGAGGGACGGGACAAGGAGGGGGGTGGCTCACTTTCAAATCCACTTTTATGTCGGTGCAATGATTTCAGGGGCATCCCGGACACCATCCGAGTCGGGAACGGTTCGGTCTTCTCTTCCTACGCCGGCACTAAGGCGTCGCGGCGCTTCGATCGCGGGAAATCGCGGCTCAGGAGCCTGCGGCCGGCGTGCGCGCACCGGCTCGAACCTTCGGCTCGCATAAAATGGCTGGCCGTGGGTCCGAGAAAGATACGCCTATTGTGGGCGCGACGGGACCGAAACACAGGCACGCAGCTCTCGAAACGCTCTTTTCGGGTCACGCTTTCGGTGCCGCTGTTATCCCGGGTCCAAACCTGCCATCTGTAACAAGCACCCCTAAAAATAATCACCTTTCCTCTCCAGATTGTTTTTCGGACCTCGGGCTGTAATGGCGACTGTCTCAGTGCTGCTCCCTCTCTCTCTCTGTCTATCTGAGCCGCCGGCCGAGGGTCCGATCGCCCTGATTTCTGCTTCAGTGTTTGCATCGAGTCGCGGCTGATGTGGAAGCACCGATGTGGATCCAAATTAAGTTTAAAAAAGGGGGATTTTAGACGAAGCCGGAGTGTAAGTAAAGCTGATCCGGGGGGCTTTCGATGTCACTCGAACCCGGGGCTGCTGGCCGTATTTTCCTACTGTAATTTTACCGATTCGACTCCTTTACCGAGCGATATTTAGTTAACTATTAGTTATTAAGATACTAGTTGTTTACCTGTGACCATAATGAACTATTCCGAAGATATAGCTGGCGCACTGACCAAGGCTACCTGGCTGCGCTGTACCTATACGCGCTCCTTGCATAATCATCTAGGTTTCACTTAATTGTGGGCGTAATGCATAGTGAATTTGAACAGTTATGAATTATTAAATCAAGTATGCGTAGTCTTCGGTCTAATTTTAGTCAGCTTCTCTCACCAAGTCAGTAGCTTCTGCTGTTATGGCTTGGTTTTATGGGACCATCCAGGGGTATAACATATTCGTTGATTTACTTAGCTTTGGGATTAGTTAGCTTGGCATTGAGTAATCAGAATAGTGTAATACGTTTATTATATTTATGCCATTAATTATTTGTTTGTTTATTACGAAACAAAATTGCTTCCCCAGTTACTTTATTGTAAAAACTTGGAAATAACATTAAGAATATTGTTGATCATTGGGCACCTAATTATCAGCATTACTTATGGTTGATCATTAAAGTGTACGTTTTTTAAAGCACTTCAATATTAGGCATTGTTCACACTGAATGAAAAAAAATGATTTTGCCATAAAACTTAGTGATGCAGTCCACATGTCGATAAAGAGATACAAATTGACAGTTGCATGGTTCTGCTTTAAGTGTTAATGGATCCAGGTTATACAGATTGCAAACTTTTGGTTCAGTGGTTCCTGTGTTGTATATTTCAGTTTACAGTTGTATGAATTGAAATAAAAACAGTTTTTCTGTAGAGTAAACTGTGGTGTGTATATATAACATTACTGTCTAAATGTCTTGGTGGTGTCACATATATCGTTAACCACAAAATGACACAAGCCCTCGTCAACTGTATAGAATGGATAAGAAGAATGATGGCTGTCTTCTGAATTCTGATGCGACAGCTCTTTGAGATGTATTGAAGTATTTTATGTTTCCTGATGCAGTGTGTCTCACCAAATCATCCAGTCAAGGGTCATATACAACAAGATCTACTGTTCACTTGGAGCATAACTTGCCTACTGTGATACCTCAAGTTCTTGATGGACGCAGTTTTGACCAAAAACATCTGGCTTTGTGTTCAGTGGACTCAGCTGTGTGGTGTTGAAGGGGTTTTCTCTGCAGAATAGCGGTTTGTTTTTAAAATGGACATGATTTTGCAAAAGTTTTGGCCAGTTGCAGCTGAAACATGGAATCTTTGGAAATAGCATGAGCCAGCCAGACCTTTGGGGGGGGGGTTCCCTTTTCCTTAAAGGCCACATAGTTACCTGCAGTGCAGTTCAGCATGTGTGTCGATTTGCAATGTGCCGAGAATTTTATTGTTAAATGGGCTGTTCACCCCAAAAGGTGCTCTGTGGTTCTGTAGCACTGTTTGCAGAATAAGAATTCAGTTATCAAAGGCACTTGTACTAGTATAGTGGTTATTTATGTAAAAATAAACCATCTGACCCTTCAAATATTTTTTTATGGTAAAAGGGTAACTGTTTTGAAGACATGCCACTCTCTTTAATTAGGCCTACCTTGAAAAGCTAATACCAGTTTCTGGACTTTTAATAGACGGTACATAATTGCATGTTGTTCAGTACTGTCTCATAGGACTTGCTAAGACTATATTGTTAAATGCACTATACATTCCTGCGTACAGTTTATGAAATATTTTTTAAAAACTGATGTTGAAGGCACATATTACCGTTAAATTGTTCAACTTGTAAGTTTATAAAATGCATATTGTGTATAGTATGATCAATTATTGCTATTTTGAGCAAAAGATCATAAAGGAATTATAATAACTATGAATAAATTTTTGTGGATTTTCCAACATCTGTTGTCATTGTAGTGGCAAGATGTAATAAGGTGTTATGATGTAACAGAAATGATCATATTACATAATTAGCAGGTTACGTTTTTGTTTTTCCTAAGGTGTATTAAAATTATTATTTTTTTCTCTTGTAGATAAGGCCGGGCTATTCTGGAATGGATACCAAGTCAGGCACTATCCTGGCTACTGGCAGGACAAGTTTGGTGGATGGACCCAATCTTCCAGAAAGTGAGGAACAACCAGTGGCAACAAAACCGTTGACAGAAATTCAAGTTCACGCTGTGGATCTCTCCCTGAAGTCGCCTCAGTCTCTACCTCCTTATTCACAGTCGTTGCATTTCAAGGACACGCAGAAGGCCAACCGTGGAAAGAAACGGAGATGCAGTGGTATGGAAGGCGAGGAGAGTGCGGACAACATTATCCATACATCTGTGGATCCAGGTGTCCAGAAGACCAGTGTCATTGACCCAAGTCTGCCAGACACAGACTCCATAGACACTTCTGGCAAGGAGACACACAGTCACTCCATGGTGGTTCTCAAAGATGAGATCGAGGAGGTATGCATTGGGGACTCCCATAGTTATTGGCAGGGTGACTCTTATCCACCGGTATTTCTCAATGAGATTAAGACAGAGGACAAGGGCTCAAAGGTTCCTTCTGATGATGGAGATAATGCACCGGAGGATTCTCTTGGAACCATAAAAGAGCATCACAATGCTGTGATGTACGAGGTTGGGTTTTTAGCCAAAGATGCGACAGAGGAGAAGACTGTTTCAGAAAGACAAACGCTGGATTTGACTGGAATTATTAAGAGCAATTTACTAACAGGACTAAGTGCTGAATTGCGGCAAAGCATGGAGAATTGCTCAAGTAAAAATGAATTGTCTGACAGTATCCAAAACAGTGATGAGGAGAATAATGAGAAGGAGGAAGCAGATTTTCCATTGGTTGAAGGACTTGGTAAACGAAAAGAACAGAGGACTAATGAGCCCGATACAGGTAGGGTAGAGAATGAAAATTTGGTTATACCGAAAATGGAAGGGGAGGAAGAAGCACTGAATTTAAGTTTTCCACAAAGGGCTGTATGCAATCATACAGCCAAAATGGAGAAGTATGCAGAAGATGGGACAGGAAGTCAAAGCACATTGGTGATGGAAGTGGATGAAATTACGCAGCGAGAGGAAGATGAGGAGGAAGAACATGACGATGATTCTCAAGCTGTCTTTGACAAGGAACCAGCGGTTGTCAGAGTTAATGTGTCAGATTGGGGTCCTAAACTGTCCCCCCCTTCTGTCTCCTTGAATAATTCTCCAACGTCCTCCACTGCAGAAGATCTTGATGGTCTCCTCCTCATAGATGACCAGGGAATTCCCTATACTCTTACGCCAGATGGCAAGAAGGTCATCCAAGCGGCACCATCAAAATCCTGTAAAGCTTCCACACACAGTCGGACAAAACTGAAAGCAAGATGGGTAGAAGCTAAGGATTCTGGGACAGCATCCTCCCCTGATCATGATCTTCCTAAGAAAGGTTTAACTGAAGTGCTACCTTGTGTGTCTTCTAAAGAAATAACTCCTCAGCTTTCCACTAGTGGTTCAGCCCCAAAAATTGTTCCTGTTTTGAATAACAAACCCAGTCAGCCTGCTGTTATTTCCCCTTCCTCATTATCCTCCACACTGTCAAATCTGACCTCCCATCCAGTCAAGATTATGGCTAATCCCACGTCTAACATTCTCCTTGTTCCTTCTTCCCACCTTCCCTCTCCTCAATCAGCTAAGCCCACATCAAATGCAAGCCTGTTGACTCTTTCTTTGCCCATTTCCCTTAATCCAAATCCACCATCAGCTCCTTTGTTTCTTGTTCTTTCTCCACTTACAACTTCGTCAACTCCCTCTTCATCCCTGTCTTCTAAGGTTAATGTCATTGACTCCATACCTTCTCCCCTGCTCTCTTCCAACACGCAGTCTTCAGCTTCTGCATCGGTTCCTCTCTCATCTGGCAAAACAGTCACTGGATCTTCTTCGCCATCCAGCGGTTCATTACCTGTGGATGCACTCAATTCTGGCACTCCCTCTACCTCCATTGTAGGAAATGGTACTGGTCCCACACCTAGTCCTGATTCTCCCTCTGTCTCC